CAGGCCACCATGCCTGGCCCCTAGGGCTAGGATTTGAACTCAAGTCTAGCTCTGGCTGTTCCTGCACAAATGGTTGAGGTCCTGCTGCGTGCCAGGCCCTTCTGGGGCCAATTTGTGTTTGTAGTCTCAGCGTTTGGCCCAGGGCACATACAGAGAAGGTGTTTGGTGAATGAATAAATGAACAAATGAATCAACAAACAAGGCAGAGGTCCTGTCTCCAGAGATGTGGATTCTACTGGGGAGACAGGGACTCTCAGAACAGGAAATGGGAGGGGCGTGGGAGGAGAGGTTGATCAGTGGGCAGCAGAGAGGACTGGATCTCAGGCGTCATGACTGCTGGTCCAGGGCTTTGTCCATCCTGCTTCCTCATCTGTCACATGGATCAACAGTGCTCACCCTCTGCCTTCCTGGGGGCCCAGTGAGGCTCTGGCTGTGAGCAGGCTGGTGAGGCAAAGACATGCTGTGTGGGGCTTCCCCGGCGTGCATGTCCAGACTGCCCAGACACCACAGTCTGCGTCCTTTGTTCTGCCCTCTTGTCCTCTGTGTCTTGCCTCCCCTATTTCCTCAGCACCCCTCAGGACTTTTTTCTTGAATGTTCTTCCCAGTACCCCTGGCTATGGGAGGGGTTTGAGAGGAATGTGGGTAAGTGGGATCGGCCTGGCTCCTCCCTCTTCCTGCTCCCACACCCAGAAGGCCAGCCACCCACGTCCACATCCACACAGACCCTCGATGAACCACCGGGCCCCTCGTGCCTTGGTAGTGGTTACCATGGTGACGAGTCCTGCTGCTTGGACTACAGTGGCCTTCAAGCTGCCTACAAGCCTGTGAGCTGTGCAGCCTGACACCCTGCAGGCTCGGGCCCAGGTGGGAGCTCTGGGGTGGCTGCCCTCCTTTGTCTCCTTGGTGCCCAGCCCTGTGACTGGTTCCCTGGGGCTCTTGGGAACGAATCGCATCTTTGGGCACCCCACAAGCTCTTCTGGCTCAGACAGGCCTGGTTCAAATCCCAGTTCTACCACTTAGGGGTCAGTGACTTGGAACAAGTCAGCTTGGTGTGTTTTGAGTTTATTAAATTAGCTACAGGAGCCTCCCGAGGGGAATTACCTGAGGAGTACAGATGCCAGGGTGCACGCCATCAGCGGTAGGTCATGGCACTCTGTGCTACTGCATCCAGGTCCTGGGGTCCTGGACTCCCCCATCTCAGCCCCAGGAGGCCCACAAGCAGCAGAGTGTGGTGGGCCAGAGCACAGACTCCGTCGCCAGACCTCTGGGTCACCGCTGGGCCCTGCCTCCCACTCAGGCCTCGATATCCTCACCTGTGAGAGGAGAATGATAATGTATCTGTCTCATAGGCTTGTTGTGAGAATAACATCCAATTAGTACCGTAAAGTGCTTACAAGGATGTGGGACACTGAAGTGTTGCATAAACGTTAGCGGTGACGGTTGTCATCACCCCACACGTTTGGCATTGGCCATGAAAGTTGGAACCCATGTGTCTGGCCCTCCTCTTTCTCTCACACACACAGGTGCACCAAGCTTAGAGTTCACAGTCTCATAGGGAAGGCAGCCAGAGAGACAGATGGCAGGTTGCCTCCCGTTTCCCTCATCCCCCCCTTCTGAGGGGTTGACAGGGGTCCCCCACCTCCTCTGTCTGGAGAGCGACACAGGCTAAGCTCAAGCAGAAACCCCAGCTTGACTCGTGAGTTTAAGGACTTTGTCTGCTGGCCCTCCAGCTGGGAGGTGCTGCACCTGGCCTAGACCAGACAGCTGGTCAGTGGCTGCCCAGAGTCCTCCAGGGCAGTAAATCCAGATGCTGAAGACACTTGCACCCAGGGGACGCTCCCCCGATGTGAAGGATCCCAACACAGAGGCCCTTGAGGGTGACATCAGAGCTGCTTTGTGCAATGCTTTCTTGGGAACAATTCCTTGGGCTTGACTGTGCAGGCTTTCCAGGCATCCTCCCATACAGAGGGGGGATCTTTCAAGAGTGGAGATAAATGTAATGCAACACTTTATTTATTTATTTTTTTGAGACAGAGTCACACTATGTTGCCCTTGGTAGAGTGCTG